CTTACGGTCTCCGTCCCCGATTATGGCTCCTGGTGTAGCTTAAGATTACGCAAGCTCAAAACTAAAGGACAACCAATATAAACAGAAAACCTCATCGAAAAGTTACAAAACTAAAATCAAAATTCTCGATAATCCGGGGTTAGCTTAATCGGGCTTTGAACAACCTGGCCTAGAAGTTGCTTTTAAAAGTTCTAATTTTGAGTTGTTTTTTTTTTTTAAATCATTTTCTTACTGGATTATCTCTAACTCTTCAGTATTTTCTTGCTTCGTTAAAGTATTCAAGGTTCCTACGATTTTTAGGCAATTTTTGTACTGCAAAAAGATGACTAAATATTGTACATCAACACATAGCTCTTTAATCTGAACAGTTTTGGTGAATCCTTGCAGAGTCCACTTGCAAAGGACTAATTTATTCTTTTTGCTTTTTGGCAGAACTGTTTTCTGCAAAAACTATACTCGTAGCAAAGACACACCTTACTAACCTTGCACGTTTTTTTACCATTGAACTCGGCAGCTGATCTCAGAGTTTCAATTCCATTCCCCCCGTGCACATTTTGTGCAGTGTCACTTGATCACGTGTTGCCTGTGTGCATGACAAGCAGGTGATACTTCCTGTGCTTTCGTCATTCACGGTTGCCAAGTATTGCTCTGAGGGAAGGCTGCGAACTAAACCGGTAAAACGGGTTAGAATAGACTGTTGACAACATTGATGGAGAAAGACGCATTAGAGGGTATTCCACTTAAACCATGCCTTGCGTGATGCGCAGAACGTGTGAGCACTAACAAAAGTAGGCACCGTCCTTAAAAGGAACTACGTCACGGTTGGCGTATTTTGAAAAGTTTAGCCTAAATGTTTCAAATTCGTCGTTTGTAATCCGTGTTAATCTTCCTCATCCTTAACCATCCTTGTTCCTTTATGACTTATTATTATCTCTTTGGTGCTTTTCTATCTTTGTTATCTATTATTTTCAGGTTTTTTTCAATTTAAAGGTTATTTTATTTTGGCCAAAATAACTCAAAATACCGCGACTGAGCTCCTTCAATTAACAAAGTAACTAACCAATATTATAAAGCTTGGTGGAAAGAAGGATAGAGTGACTGGATTTCACAAATTCAAAAAGCGTTCGCAAAGTTGCATCTGCAGAACTCAACGTTAAAATTTGTTCGGCATCGAAAATAATTTCAAGCACTTG